AACATATAGGACACTTTTTACTGCGGCAAAATATCTCAGTTTTGAGAAAAAAAAAACTGCAATATAAGAGTATACTAATGTGTTAAGCCTAAGACTTTGGTTTTTGGTCATATGAACGCGGGCGGAGCCGCGGGCAATGCTAGTTAAATATAAATGTTAATTTTTTATTGGTGTATCGAAATTAAATAAATGCGTTTAATATAACGTAATAATGATAAAAATTTATAAATGTGGTAAAGTACGGAAAACACCTTTACAGTAACTTAAATGCGATTAAGAATAACACGTAATGAATAATGATGCTTGAATATTGGAGCAGTTGTTCATGTTCAAAATTGGTGTCAATGCTCGCTGCGGTTGCAGTGTACTGAAATTATGTATTGGGAAATGCCGTAGAGTGCGGACACGTTTCGGCCACCGACCCAAGCACCAATCGCCCAATGCCCTTTCGATCTCATTCAATCATCTCTTACCACAAATATACTCATTAAATAATACTATTATTAACTTACAATGCGATACGATCAAATATTGTCACTATACTTGAACTTTTAAAGCTTTTATATTTTGTAACTATGTCTAGTAATAAAATTAAGTGCACTTGTAATCTATACATATAATGAAATTGTAACTAAGCCGAATCTGTACGTTGAATATTTTTTGGGAAATCTTATTGAAATAGACATTATTATCGATACAGAGGCCGAATCTATAGTTTTTAGAATTTTTGTCTGTCTGTCTGTCTATTTGTTACCGCATCACAGAAAAACTACTAGACGGATTTTGATGAAATTTGGTATGGTGATAGCTGATTATCCAGGTCAATATATAGGATACTTTTTACCGCGGAAAAATATCTCATTTCTGAGAAAATATACAAAAACTGCATTGTAAGAGTATACTAATATGTAAAACCTAAGAATTTGGTTTTTTGTCAACGCGGGCGGAGCCGCGGGCAATGCTAGTTAAAGATATAAAGTATGATTACATTCTTGTTTTATAGATCATGTAATCATTGGCATTAATTTGACTATAAGAAAGTAATTAAAAACATGTTTCTGACCACTTAATATATTCTTTATCTTGCTGGCAGAAAATAATTTAACTGTATTTTTATGGTAATCATACGGTATCTCTAAATTACATGGGATAGCGTTTCCATTGTATTCATTATATTAAAAAATCTCTTATTTCTTAGTAGGTCAATCATCAAATGAAAATAAATGCTATTAGTAAACTAGTTTATAACAGGAAGTTAAGAACTACATGCATGTTAATTTTATTTGTTTGGTTTGTAAAATGCGTTTGACACAAGTATGAAAAATAATTATACTTTATTGTGTAAACCTTTTAATGCCTCGAACACATGGTACTCTTACAAAAGCAAATAAATAGATAGTGGTGTATCGTCCGCGCCCTCACCCTCTCGGGGAAGGTGACTTGCGAAGTGTGTCTAGACGGAGGGACCCTCTATCTGTAAACAGAATGACATTCTATTTTTCTAAGATGAACTTAAATTGAGTTAGATCTGAGAGGTTTCTTAAGGAAAAGTTCTGTCAATACCGTTTTCATTTTGTATAGTTACATTTAAAAAAAAATACTTTTCTTCCTTAAAAGGAAAAAAGTTACAGAAAAACATAAAAGAACGCATGTAGAGGCAAAAAACAGTGAACGCTTTCCTTTTGTTCGACATCATAAGCGAGATTTTTTTAAAAGGTACTGTACGCGATATGTAAAGAATACTAAGAGCACTCGTAGCGCAGGTAGGTTAGGTAAATACATAAGATATGTACATACATATGTGCAGAACCGCGGGCGGACTGGTATGTTCCCACGGTAACGCGGGTATTCCTACGAAGCTGGAGTAACAATAATTTGCCCCGTAGTTATTGACTCTTGAAGTACGAGCCATAAATACAAGTTAGTTGCTTGGGAAGTAACTGCGCAACCGGCTATAACATGCATTTGTAATACTTATCATAACTTACAATTCTATAAGCTTTATTGGATAGTTCTTAAAGAACAACTTTTAAGAAATAATTTGTACGGAACCCTCATCTTTGTATTTGTCAAGTTTAGTCCCAGTGTAACCTGATGGAATGAAAAAAATTTGTAAAAGTCGTCTACTTGAATATAGTCACAGAAATTTATTCCGTTATAATGTGGGAGGGAACAAATCCGTTTAAATAAAATTTCGTGTAATACATAGGTATATGGTATTTTGACGCCCTGATCCCGAATATGATCTCCAATCAGGTCTCAACTCTAAAAACCAAAACCTTCAATTATCTTGTAAGGATGCATTCCATTACATACTTAATAAATGTTGATTTTTGGTAACAAAGTGAAGCGAAGCGAACAAAGCGAAGCGAGAAAGTGAAAAAGTTATACCAAATATTTTTGTCTAATTTATTTTCTTCACATTCAAAGTCGGTAATGTATGTATCTGATTTGAATATGGTAGATGGTAGTCATTACATTTTTAGGGTTTTGACTCATTCATACTCACTCATTCGAGAAGCCATAGAAATTAAAAAACATCCATATTTCAATAGAGAAGATGGCTGGGTACCATCGTCATGGGATCCTATTATTATAATTATAAAATCAAATAATAAATCTAAATATAACAGACAGGTAGATGTAGTAAGTTCTTACTGTGTAGATCAAAATGACTGCATATCAGATTAATATTTTTAATTTTTCATTTGCAAAAGTATATAGTAATAGTGTTGCTTAGTAATTTGTCTTTTTAAATAATAGCAAACTAAATTAAAATTATTATCCTTAAATAATTTTAACTTTTTAAATTACACATAGAACAATTATATGGCTTAAATAATAATACTATATTTTATATTTTTCTTTATGGTTATAAATATAATAATGGCAACACTAAATATAGATTACTAATTAATATTTTTAAAATTGTAATAATTATAATAATAACAGCAAAAATTAAATAAATAATATTCCTTTCTTAGATTTACGCGAATATTTCACATTTTAAATAAAACTATCTTTTCGGATTTTTTCGCGGATTTATTTGGATTTTTGGTTCCCGACGTTTCTTTATGGTTATAAATATAATAATAGCAACACTTAATATAGATTACTAATTAATATTTTTAAAATTGTAATAATTATAAGAATAACAGCAAAAAAAAAATATTCCATATTCAATTATAAAACTAATTAAAATTATAAAAATGTTTAAAGTTCATTTTGTTATTTGGGGGTAGGCTATTTGTAACAACTATACCTTCGAGACATCTAACACCTCAGTCTCTCCCGTGACCATGAATGCTGTAAAGCACTCGAAACGTCGGGAACTAAAAATCCAAATAGATCCGCGAAAAAATCCGAAAAAATAGTTTCATTTAAAATGTCAAATATTCGCGTAAATCTAATAAAGTATTATTCTTTTATTCCCTGCTAAAATATTTATGAGGCAAGTTGAAACAACGTTTTCATATATGTAACATAAGAGCGTAAACTTTGTCGACAACAAAGATCAATGGTTGCATCCGGTGTTTATAAAAATGTCTTATTGGTAAAAATGTGTGCAGCACGGACACACTACGAATCTCCCTCCACTAAGTTTAACTGCGACACATATTCCCGTTCGCACATGCCCCTACCCTCACCTCTACTTATTACGTCTCACCACAAACATTGCAAACGAAGAACACTCAGCAACTTCCAAAGCATTCTTGCAGACCCCCCTATAAATGTACTAACCCTCTTAATAAAAGAAAAACTTCTCCCTTTTGAACTTTGCTCAAAATATTTTGTTTTGATAGCCTGAGTGTGCTTAATAAGCTCACTTCGCAGTGCTACTTTTGCATATTCGTTCAAACTTTTTTAATATGCTTTCTTTACTTACGGTCACTGAGTGGATGTTATTGCTTTGAGCTTTTGAGACCGAATTTAAATTTCTAGGCCTTTCAAACTCCCTACACATAAATAAAACTATTTGTTAAAAATATTTAATAGTACGTATGTATACGTAAACTTCCTTATTTATAGTCATAAGTAAAAACGCCTCAGGTTTCGGTTCTTTTATTCGGGCAACTTTGATTGTGCACCTTGAAATAAAATAATAAATTATGACAAGCTATAACCATAATATTTTTAGAGCCTCATATTTCTGAGATTATTCCTATTCGACTATGAATAAATAAAATATGAATATAACGGTTTTAGAGAGTATAGATAGACGCTGCATTACATCTTACGGATTTATATTTAAAATTCTTATCTTAGGTCCGTTCTGTCGACATAACTTTTACTTATACAAATGAATAGGGCATTTGATATCATCTACATCTACACTAATATTATAAAGAGGAAAGATTTGTACTTTTGTATGCTTGTAACGAATGAACTCAAAAACTACTGGGCGGATTTACATGAAATTTGGTGAGAAGATAGTTTGGGAAGGTTTCCCAGGGGGGAAGAACATAGGATGTTATTTATTCCTTAAAGGGGTGAAACTGGGGATGAAAGTTTGTATGGGGAATCAACCTAGTTATTAATAAAATTATTCAACGACATTAATTATAAGGTCAAAGATCGCTGAAAAGTTTGGCTCAGTTTGTAGTCCTACTTGCTGTGCAAGCGGTCGCGGGTTCGAGTCCCGCCTGGGGCATTCATTTGTGCGATGAGCACGAATGTTTGGACTCCAGTCATGGGTGCTTATATTTATAATATGTACGTATTTAAGATTATTATATACCCTTAAATACGTACATATTATAAATTGTAGTGTATCAACTATCTGGTATCCATAACACAACCACCATGGAACTAGATGGTGCTGTGTATTAATGTATATTAATTATAGAACCAACATATAACCAAATAAATATGTTAATGTTTATTTATTTATATTTTTATTGTACAGAAATAACCCTGTTTAAAAATTATAAAAGATTATGATAAATGATACGTCTTGAAATATTAAACTATCAAAATAAAAGTATTTTTATTTTTTGCAGACGGGTGGCGGCAGATGGATAGGAGGCGCGCGGCGGCGGCGCTTCTCGCGCTGGCCGCGTGCTTCGCGTGCTCTACAGCAGGTTGGTATCGTTTATTTTGTCTGGCATAAAAAAAATGAATTCCATCTTATTACATCTTAATTTTATAAAATATATATAACAAGATGTTACCGTTCTGTTAATTCAAATATTTCTATATAATAGTGTGTGTGACCGGTCCATTTAAAAAATATATGTATGTATATACTGAAATTTGTCGCTGGTTTTTAAAGATTTTGTTTTAAGTTTATAATAATTGACATAAAGTTAAATTGATTAAAGTAAAAGTAAATACATGTTGGTATAAAGAAATATATGAATATGAAATACACGTATGTAGTCTTACATGTTAATATGTATAGATTCGTTTTTTTATTTGTTACTCATAATATATTAAATTGTATGGCTGAACAGGTAGAACCGTTGCATTGTCTCGTGACCTAGAATGGGTCTAGCTTTTCTTGAGATGTTCGTGCACGATAGTTGTCGCCGCAACTGCCGCCACCGTCTTGACATTCGTTATCATTACTTGCTACCCGAAAAATCAGTATTCAAAAATACATACTAAAAATAGTTACTATAATAAATACTTACTTACATTTCAAAAACTATTAAACACTTAAAGATTAAAATACTTGATGTTTCATAAAACTAAATTAATTTTAAACAATTATTACATATTTTGTATATATTTTACAATTTAGTATTAGGTATTCTCAAAATGTCGAAAATGCAATATCGTACAGTATTATTTTGTTTAACAGTCCCCACCAGTTCTCAGATAGTTTCTCAAAGAGCTTATTAGCTTAGCTTTGCAGTCAATTTTGAATTAAACGCAAGTTTCTGTTGAATATACCTTTATTTATATATAACTATAAAAAAAAATTCACTTGATGAAATTAAAAAAAAAATGTAACCTCTATATCTAATAAAAAACGATTTATAAATATCAGAAGAAAAATGTATTTTTTCAATAATATAAATTCGCAAAGCGTTTCTGATGAACAATAGTAGCTAATTAAACTGGTGATGGTTTACGTGAAGCTAGGTAACTGTTCGCGATGCATGTCATTAGATAATTCTATTTTAGTCTTCGCAGTTTTAGTATCCGTAGCACGGTTATTTCAAAGAATTCGTACTGAATTTATGTTATACATAGGAAGTATATTCAAATGCGGCCTACAATGTTTAGGTCTACCCGTGTGAACTTCATCACGCATTGCGACCACGACAACATTCATTCATTGAAACAACAATCCATATTAATGTAGTGCAAATTTTAAATTCATGTTGCCTCCTCATTTCGATTGCTTTGGACCATGTTTCTAAGCGCACGATTTTGCATAAGTAGTTTTTATATCGTAGCATATAATTTATCTGTATTGAATATTAATATTGTATTTCAAATTGTACTTTCAAAAACTAAATAATAGTACACTTAATTTTTTTATCGATTTCATTAACTTTAAATATCTCAATAACTTTTATGATGTCTAATAAAGTTCTTATAAAGCTTATTAATTGATGATATATGTCAGAAGAGAATATAAATCAAAAGAGATAAGATATATTCGAATTCTCCTTTTAAAAAACCGTTATGCAGTAATAATATTGGTTTTATGATCGATGGTAATCGTGAGAATGGAAAAAAATATTATATTGAAAATCAAGCGAACAAAAAGTAGACATTGGTGACATTCTTAGCAACCGTTAGACGAGCTTTCCAAGAGCAGTCTGATTGTCAGCGCCTTGCGCTTGAACCGAGTTGCACTGGCGCGGGCGGCGGTACAAGAAGCCGTGTTCTAACGGACCTCCCAAGCCGTCCAGACTTCTCTCACACATCTTAACAATACATAATTTGACGCACTTTATCACTTCTTGAAATCGAAATAATACTGTTAAACGTGTTTAAAGTTGAAATATTGTTTTATCTGAACCGGTGTTCGACTAAGTTATATTTATGGTATGGAACCACTAACCGCTAAATTTATTTCCAATAAACTATACAGCGTAGTAATGGGCGTCGTTGCCACAAAGTTAACGGCACTGTTACAACTTACAGCATCATATCCGAAAATCGATTACATACTCTGGCATTACGACTTATGCCCTCGGATCGAATCAACGGCAAAGCTGCGGTTCCGACGTTAACGATGTTCTCCGTTACTTTAATTACGGCTTTGTCGCCTCACCGCCTGCAGTAATTATATGCAGTAAAACGGATAGGTAAAATGACTTATGACGATGACCGATCGCAAGTCTCGTGTAATTTGCTGCTAATATCCAGTCTCGCTTGCGCTTAATAAGTCCTCACATAAATACAGTTGTAAAACATTCTCAGAACACTCATCACATTTATTACGTCGGTGTATTAAAGTCGAAAACATAAATATTCTTTTAGTTATTTATTTGATTTATTTTTGGTTAAAAATAGATTAGTCTGTTCCTTTAAAAAATATGAATGATTGTTTTAAGTGATACGAAGATATTTTTCAATTAGGGACAATAGGTTCTTTTAATTAAAAACTGGGGAAGTTTACTTTTAGTTGATTTATTTCCGTAATAATACTTCACTAACAAATTAACTTCAGTTTTAAACTACATTCCATTCTCCTATTAATTTTATACTTATTGTATTTCAGCACCGACAGCTAGCAACCATACTGCGTTAGAGTTAATTGAAGGTAAGATTTGCGAACAATCACATTATGAATTCTGTTGAGGTTGATTAATATTTATAATTAAATAGTATTAATATAAATTATAAAGTAAAAAGGCATAAAAGTACAATATTTTTATTTAAACATTGACAAAGTATTTTTAAATTTTTAATCGCTTTTGTTTAAACTCCAGATGAGTGTCAAATTAGCACATGTCATATAAATTTTAACTTTAAACTGGTGATTAACTTTAAATTTTAACTAAATTTTAAACCTCTATTCTTTTAACTTAATAAAATAAAAATTAAATTTTTCTTTCAGGTCCCACAGAAGGATGCTACTATAACTTTCAGCATTATGGAGAAGGGGATAGAATTATGACAAACGAACCTTGCCTCAACTGTACATGTCACAATCGGATGCTTATGTGTTATTTAAGAGTGTGTCCATTCTCGAAACCTATTGGTCAAGATTGCACGGTGGAGAAGCGAGCTGATCAGTGTTGTCCTATTGTGACCTGCCCTGACGGTAAACTAAACATGATTAATACTTTCTTAGATTTACGCGAATGTTTGACATTTTTAAATAAAACTATCTTTTCGGATTATTTCGCGGATTTATTTTTATTTTTGGTTCCCGACGTTTCGAATGCTTTACAGCATTCGATGATTAACTTTAAATGATAAACATGATTAACTTTTACTTTTGTCTTTTATATAAAAACTCAATCCGATAGTAAAGATCTTTCTCTTAGTCTACTTGCTTATTATTACTCATAAGCTTCAAAACAATTTAATAAAATTAGTTGATTTTATCGATAATATCAATATGAATGTCTGTTACATGTGATTAAAACCTTTAACATGTTTCTTTCAATACACTCTCATTAGAGACATGATTTAAAAACTACCTAAACACGGATGAAGCTGAAATAATTTTGCCAATTATAACCTATTAATTATGGAAGCATATTTAGATACATCTGCGCGTGTTTTAAGCACACAACTTCTGGGTATTCTATATCCATTCTTATTTAGTATTTTTTTTTACTGTGAAAAGCATCGATATTAATGAATTTATAATTAATCAGTTCCAGTTGACCTGCTCACATCCACATCGACATCGTCGCCCGCTGAATACGGAACAACTGGAGTTGGTAGACACGATAAATATGGATGTAGTATAAACGGAAAATACTTTTCTGAAGGTTCCAAAGTACCACCGACACCTAATAAGCCATGTGAACATTGTTACTGTATTCGTAATATGACAACTTGTGTAATGCAAGAATGTACTTTACACGTAGATGGCTGCACTCCCATTTATCATAAAGACGTCTGCTGTCCTGTGCGATACTCTTGTGGTAATTAGTGTTTTCACTTTAAGTGTCTATTTTATTAAATGTTGTTTTTAGATGCATTTCACTTTTAATACATTTTATTTCAGATCACCCTGAAGATGAAATTCCTCTTTTGGACGATATGACGACGACCGTACGACCAACGCCAGGCTTCCTTCTAACAACAACAACCATGGTGCCAGTTACACAACCATCGCAAGAGTGCATACACGAAGATCAAATATTCCGCGATGGTGCTCATATTAAAACAGAGAAAGCCTGTGAACATTGCTACTGTATGAAGGGAGACATTGTTTGTGTAGTACAAGGATGTGGAGCACCTATGGAAAATGAGGGCAAAAATTGTACTGCACTACCTCTACGCTTTGGTCAGTGTTGTCCAGATACGTATATTTGTGAAGGTGATGAACGCGGTGCCGATCTGACAACAGAGGTTATTGATCAAAGTACAACACCTCCGAGAAGAGTCGGAATTGAAGGTAGTGGATATCGCAATGAGCCTGACGAACCGGTTAAGGAAATAGATCTTTTTGAGACAGATGCAGAAGGTAGTGGTGATGAAAACACATATACCACACCAGTTGATATAATAGAAATCTCTGTGCCAGATAAAGAATCACCTGAAGCAACTGATGAAATGTTACCAACTACAGAAAGGGACATTTACATAAATCCCAGTACAGAATCAGAAACAGAACAAAACTACGTCCCAGACGAGGATTCCCCTAAAGTTACTTCTTTATTACCTGACCAAAATCTAATATCATATACTACAGAATCAAATTCAGATTTCGTCTCTACAACTAAGGAATTTAAGACGACTATTCCCGATGACCTTCAAATAATTGATGAATTTATCTCTCAAAAAGAAGCAACTATTACAACTGAATCAGCATTCAGAAAAGAAGACAACGAAATTGTTGCAGATGAAATTTTATTGCACAAGGAGCAACATAAAGGGACGACATCTTCCGGAGATTTAGCTGGAGAGACGGATAATAAAGAGGAACCCGAAACGAATGATGGTACAGATTTTACCATGTCTCCTGAATATGAGAACAAAGCAACAACGGAATCAATAAAATACACAAAAGATGACATAGATAAGACAAAACAAGAAGATAATACAGAAACAGAAACACAAACAGAATTTATAGACAAAAAGACTGACGATGAACTCATACCTGAGACTACATCTAGCAAGGATATTCCCACTATTTTAACTACTACAATACCAGATAAAATAGAGCTACTTGATATCACTACCATTAATCCAATTTACAATGAAATAGATGAAAATAGTGGTATAAGCCCAGCAAGGATTCCTGGCGAGGGAGATTGTCTCCTAAATGGTATAACCTACAGTAATAATACAAATGTACCTAGAGCCAATAACTGTCATACAAGCTGTAAATGTGTAAGCAGTATTATAAAATGTGATCCAATAATTTGTAGTCCACCTCCAGAATACATGGAAAATATGAATGACTGCCAACCTATTTATGATTCTCCTGACTCTTGTTGTCCAACATATGTTTGCAGTACTAAAGAAACGATACCCCCACAATCGCATAGTCAAATGTCTGGAACTGAAAGTCCTAAGCCAATTGGAACAGTAGAGTGTAATAAAAATGATTGTGCTCTGGGTGAGAACGACAAACAACCTTTGGATACATCTGAAAAGCAAGAGCAAGGTGACTGTAGCTCTAGTAACTGTGAAGATGATATTAAAAAATTACCCCCGAAACATCCAGATGATTGCTCTGATGATAAATGTCAAGTATCACCAGTTGTTGCCTGTGAAGGTAAAAATTGCGATATTGAACCTACCGAAAAATTAGATTCAGCTGCAGAGAAAGAATCAGACATGAAACAAGAACCACCTAGTAGTTGTAACGATAAAGATGGTTGTAAATCACCAATAGATGCAATACAAGACCAATGCACAGATGAAATATGTCGAAGAAAAGAAGAACCTAAAATACATAACGAATTACCTTCAGAATGTTCAGGTACAGAATGTAATACTTTAAATGATCTAGTAGTTACATCTGCAAATGAAGTAGACCAATCGACAGAATCTGTATTTGAAAAACCAAAACAAGATTTAGAATCTCCTGCTCCAACTAAAGCAATAATTGAAGAAAACCAAACGGAACCATCCCCAGCTGAAGGTATCAAACAAACTGAAATGAACATTCCAGTTACATCAGAACCGAATCTTCCAACTGAAATTGATAAACTTTTTGTAACCGAGGAGGATTCAGAACATGCAAAAATGCCCACAACACAAACTGTACCTGAAAAAACTGAAATAGAAGAAACAAACCTCACAGAACATGATATTGGTATTGGTCAACAACAAGACAAGGTTACTGAACCTCAAGGATTACCAGAAATGTACACAGAAAGGGGTACAACAGAAAAGTTGAATGTAGAACAAAAAGTCACAGAGAAAGAACAAGCAGGTACTGTAAAGGAGTCACTTAATACCGAACTTCCAGAGTTACTGGAAACGAAATTAAATGACATTACAAAGAGAATTGATTCGTTCACGACGGAAAGTATGCACATCGATGATTTAGATAAACATAAAACAAAATCGGAGGATATTTACACAACATTACCTTATTCACCAATAGAAGAAAAAAATACTGAAAAACCAAAACCTCATAGTGAAATATCACACACGGATCAATTAGAGTCATCTACTATTGACAATAAGCTCCATTTAGTCACAGAAACTCCAACAATTTCCGAAATTGAAACAGAAAAGACTGATTCTACTGTAGAGGAACTATTGCCAAAATCAACGGAACTACCTGAAGCGGAATTCGATAAGAATGAAGTACAATATGATAGCTTACATACCACACCAAGATTACCTGAAGAAGAAATTGACAAAGATCTATCGAATGTAAAAGATATTTTCGAAGAATCCCACACTACTCAAGTATCCCATGAAACAAGTACACACAAAGATATCGATATATATGATTACTCTTACAATGAATCCGACAGAAAATCTACTGAATCTGTTATGTCACAAAGTGAAATGAGTGAGCGCCCGGAAATCGAACAACCTCATGAGATGATAACTGATAAAATTCACAATGAATTACAATCCATCACGGAAAAACCAGATGATTATACTAAAGATTCTACTCCTGCAAGCGGAGTTGAAGTTATAACAGAATCCGCTATTACCTCTTCTGATACTCCACAACCTGTACACATATCGGAAGATGAAATAACTACAAAACCTGACGAAATCATAACAAAAGAAAATGTAATAAAACAAGATGATGAAATATTAGAATATTCAACATTAAAACCAGAAAAACCTGATTATAATATGGCAGACAAAATTAATAACGAAAAACCTATAATTTCTATAGAATATCCAACTACAGAACAAATAAAAATGGAGGAAACAGAACAGCCCGTAACAGAGGGAAAAATGACAAAACAGCCTGAAGTATTGGAGACTAAATTAGATCAAATAGTTAAAGTAACAGAATATCCTATTATAGAAAATGAAGATACGGCTACAAAGATACCCGATATTTCCTTAGAACAAGTAGATCAAACTTCGATATCACCAGAAAAAGAAAAGACTACTATGTTCGAATCTGAATTGCCCATTAAACAAGAAATGAGCTCTGAACATACATTAATATACACAATTAGTATTGATCAAGATGAAAAAGATGACCGTTTTACAGAACTGCCTAAAGTATCACCAACATCAACAGAAGTTATTGTTACAACTCCAAAAATATTTGAAATGCAGGATAAGATGGACGATACCGAAACAAAGAAACCAATAAATACTCAAAATGAAGTTAATATCCTCGATGATGCTCAAAGTCAAAATACTTTAAGCACAGAGGCTCAAGAATTAACTCCAACCAAATACAGTGACCATATAACGGAAAAATATGAAATTTTAACTACAGAGTATACAACAAAATACATATTGAATGAAGATTTGAATGTGCAACAACCTACAAGTGAAACACCTAAAATTGATGAAAAATATTCTGAAAATCAAGAAACAGAAACAACTTTAAAAGATAATTTACAAAAGCAAGAATCTTCTACAATGTCTCATGGTGATTCTGTTGAACTTACCGAAAGTCAAACTAATAATCCAGTAGTTTATGACGACAAATTAGAAGAGCTAATTACCAAAATTCCAGAAGAAGTATTACCAACTGAACAAAGTGACAAAAAACATGAAATACCTACAAAAGAAGATGGCTTATTAGGACAAGATGAGGATATTACCTTAGCGCTTTCAACTGAATCTCCAGAAATAAATACAGAGACTGAGACAGCAGTAGAATTACATGTGGATACAACGCTTAAACCTCATGATGATAAAGTACAAATATCGCAAGAAGAAATAGAAGAGCAAATCTTAACTGAAAGAACTACTATTAAGCCTAATGAGGAAAAAGAAAATATTGAAGATAATCTTAAACTATCTACTCCATTTGATGAGTCATATACTACTTCAAAGGATATAGAAAAGGTTACAAACAGTCCAAACTTAATTGAAGAAAAAGATAGAGAACAAGATGTTGAAGCACAAACCTCACAGACAGACAATGAAGAAAAGATATCTGCGATAACAGAAAAACCGTCAATTGAGGATATACCTGCGTCGCAATTAACTAAGGAATCTGCTACAATTGAGACTATTACTGAAGAGATTATTGCACATACATCAGAAAAAACAACAGCAAACTATAACGATGACAAACAGGAAATCATTAATATTAAACCTCAAGAACCTGAAACGTTAACTAAATTGGAAGAAATTGCAACAACAGAAAGCATTTCCGATGTTCAACATAAAGACGTATTCACAGAATTACCAGAATTGTCAATAACATCTAACGACTATGCGACGTTACCTGTGGAAGATATTAAATTGGATGAAAATAAGCAAAAGATACCTGAAGTTGAAGATGTTCCTCAATTCCAAACAGTACCACCAGTATTGTCAACAGAAAAAGACAAAGTCATTACAGAATTGCCTCATGCCCTTATTACTGGCATCGATCATCAAACAGTACCTGAAATAATTAAAGAAGAATTAGACTCATCAACAAAAACATCATACGATAAAATTTTAGAAGAAGAAGAAAACGGAGTATCAACGCCAAATATATACGTATCCCAATCGCAAGATCAGACTTCTGAAGTTCCAGAACATTCAGACAAACACGAAACTGTTCCGGAACAGGAAATAAGCAGCGGCGCTATTTTAACTTCAGAAAATCCGGAAGAGATATCTACTGCACATATTTATACATCAACGTCAACTCCATTACAGGAAACAATAGACGAGAAAGAAACACATGATCAAAGTTCACAGACAGTAATGACGCAAACCGACTCATCGGAGAATGTGAAACCTACTGAAATTGTTACAGTGTCTGAATTGGGCGATCTCACCACTGAAAATGCATTAACTTCTAAAAAAGAGGAAGAGATAAAGCCTATAGAAGAAAAGAAACCATCTACAGAATCAATAACCTCAAGTGAAGATAATTCTGAACTTGAACATAATGTTCCAGTATTTGTTCAAGGAGAAGAAATAGCTACTGAAATACCTCTTCAAGAAATAACGACACTTTCTTCAAAATTGTTTGATGTTGAAAATGATAAAGAGTTTAAGATTACTGAAGCTGTACCAACTAAACCTCAAGATATTACATATGATACTACTCGTGCTGAAACTGTAACAGAAGGGCTAGAAAAAGAAACACCCTTAGCAGTTACGGAAATAGGTTTCTCTACAGAAAGCTCAAAGATTTCTGATTCTACCAAACACACTTTAATTAACGTGCCTATAGTTATTGCGCAAACAGAGGAATCAACATATTTTACAGAATCAAAGGAACCTGAAGCTACAGACTATATAGAACGCAAAACTACTGAAACCTATATATCCTTAGAAGTGGGTACTACTACACCTTCTATTTTAGAACCAATAACTGACAGGCAAGAATCACAAAAACCTATTTCTGCTTTAGAAACTACTGAAGATTATGCACCAGTTTCAGAACAAAAACAAAGTGACATTTTCTCAGACTTTAGTACTAAACTGCCAGCTAAAGATATGATAGACCTTAATGAAGTAACCACATTATCACCTCAAGAAGAACCAATAACAAATGGTAAAATAGAGCAAGATAGCACTCAAAAACCTGATTCACATGTAGAAATTATTGAACAAGAAGTTATTAAACTTCCAGACCAATTACCTCCAGTAACAGGAGATAAAACAGAATTGTTTGACAAAAATGAGCTTACAAGTATTAGCCCTGAAAGTGTAGAAAAAACATCACCAGCTTCAATTGAACAAGAAATACAATCTGAAGACGGCACCACTCTACCTCCTACTGATATAAACGTACCAACAGAATACGTAGAAGTAGAAAAAGAAATAGGCGAAACAACAACTGAAAAGATTATGATTCACGTACCAGACTTAGAGACTATGACAAATCCTCCAGTATCTACACAAAAACATCAAGAAGTGGAGGAGACTACAGAATTAGAATCTACATATAGTAAAACAACTCCTTTCTCAGTCGAACTTGAAGAGCATACACACCTTGCTGTTGATGAACCATCTTCGAGTGTTCCAACATCAGAAATACCTATAAGAATTGATTACGAAACACATGAACCAGAACGAGGTGACATGCCTGACAATGAGGAACAAACCAAACCTTCTGATGCAACACCAATTGAATTTGAAGATAAGGAAAAGCCTGTTACTAGTTACCAAGAGATCACAGAACCGAACGTTGCAACAACTATAAGTCCAGTTCAAAATAATATTGAAAGAGAACCAAGTATCGATATAAATTCCCCAACACCCACCAAATCAGAAGAACCAGATAAGGATATTACAACTATTCAGGACGAAGAAATAATTCTATCTTCATCTCCGCAAACAGTTAATGAAAAAGACTTGTACACTACAGAAAACGTGGAAATACAACAAATATCGTCTTCAACATCCGGTCCAGTAATATCAACAGAAAAGGATTTGCCAGTAAGTTCAGAAAAACCAATTAAATCAGAGATTGCGCAATCTACTGTTTCTGACAAAGAAATAATAGAAGAAACATCACATGCGACAACAGGTAAATTCGAAGAGGGTAGTTCTACCGATTCATCTATTGATAAATTATCTGGATCAGAAGAAAAATTAACTAGTGTCAGCCCATCTTCTCCTGTTCCTGAACTACCTAAACCTGTATTTAATGAAGAACCTATCGAAGACATTGCTACTCCAGATTTCCCTTCGAGTGGCGCGGGAGGTTATGGACAGGAACCTGATTACGTTGAAGAAGATCAGACTTTCGGACCTGGAACATGCCGTTACGGAGGCAAAGTTTATGTTTCTGCACAACAAATACCGAGAGATGATCCATGTGATTTCTGTTTCTGCTTTAGAAGTGACATTATCTGTCTACAACAGAGTTGTCCACCACCAATTCATGGATGTCATGAGGAACCAATACAAGGTTTCTGTTGCCCACGATATGAATGTCCCGTGTCAATGGCAACAACATTAAACATGACCACTACTACAACGACGACTACAACTACTTTACCTCCGCATTTTCTGCCACATGCGTACAAAGGCGCAGCCCAACGAAGAGGATGTCAAATAAAGGGGCACACGTATAAGGTTGGAGAAGTTGTTCGAGCATCTTCAGGGCCATGCTTACATTGCACGTAAGTTATATTTTTGGATACAATAACGTTGAAATTTATAAGATTTTTAAGAAACACAAATACAAATATTTCTTTAGTATTTACAGTAAATATTGAAATTTGGGAAATATGTATGTACTTTTAAATATTTGTATTTACCTACCATGGTCATATATAACGATCAAAAGTAGTCTGGTGACAACAAGGTGACAATCCAGAATATAAAGTACGTGTTTCTGGATTAGGAATTTCGCTCAAATCTGTCAAAATTTCGCATAATTTGTTGCAAAAACATAAATTGAAATTCTAACACACTCACTACTACTTACTACTTTTACATTTATATTAATTTTAAATGAAATTATTTACGTTACAGATGTGGCGGCGATGGTCAAATGAAATGTGACCCTAAAGCTTGTACACCGGAACCAATGCTGAGACAAATGATTGCTGCCGCCGTTTCTGCGAAGAGGCGAAGGTGAAATACCTAAGAGGTATTATCAACAGCATGAAATACATCATCACAAAAGTTAACATCTAAGTGATTACAATTTCATGTATTTTTTATGCACAAGAATAATGCTCAAATTTCGCGAAGATTTAGATTAAGATTTCGTGTCATATGTAGTAATCGCTATTATAATACATTTTATTTTCATATTGTCGTGGCACGCAACTAATACTTGACAATCAATCAACCATGACTGTGATTAAAACGTTATAGGTATTTAATAATTTTCGAATTATCATTTCAATTGCGAAGTATAAAAGTTTTATTTGATTTATTTTATTTTGATTTGATTTATTTATTATGAATATTTTTACAAAAGTCAGTGCCAAACGGTAGTACTAAGGTGTAATGACTATTATTATATGCCCTTATAATAAAATGTTCTAAATTTTAAATTTTAATTAACGTCCTGACCTTAGAAAGCTGCAAAAGCAGAAATCAGTAAATATGTACGAGATGAATACAAACGTCAAGCTTCATAGGTCAGCTTAGATCGCCGAAATCTTGACCATTTTACATAATATAATAAACAAAATTTTTACCGATATAAGTTTAGTCAATTCTTTACGTTTACACGATGTTACATGGATCGTCTAGTATCGTGTAGGTATAAAGAAGTTTAAGTATTTCAGATGTTGTAAATGCCTTACTTAATTTGTAATAATTTATATATTTTAGATGTATAGTACTTAAGCCATGTTTCGAGACCAGTCTACTTATTATAATTTAGGAGTAAACTGAGGCCCTTTACATGATTTTGAAAAATATCAGTCGACGCGTCGATGTTCGATTTAGCCTTGGCCGACATTTTTCCTTTCTTTCCCGTTTTACGGAAAACGACATATGTATGTATCAATCTTGTTTTCTTTAATTCGTGAGAGTCTTATACTAGCACTTGTTTAGTAACAGTGGCCGTAAGTAAAATCATTTTGGAAAGAAATTTACAATGTAGCTAAACAATAAAGCATATTGTAGAATCTTTTATAACTTTTGATACGAAAAGTGCTGGTAGACCTATAATATTTGAAACTCAGATCGAGGTTGGTACGAAAGTTTCGTGACTATTGTAATTGTTATTCTCGATGAAGTAAATATACGATTACATTAATTCGTACCGCCCTTCTTCTATACAATGAGGTTGTAGTTATAGCTCCTTATTTATTTAAAGTTTATAGCAATAGTGATACATATTTGTTTAAACTGGTGATAAATGTACTGTTTCAAAATTTGTCCATGGTTTATGATAGTTCAATATAACATATAATGTCAATTATATATTATTTTGATCAACTTAATACTTTTTACCGAACACAAATAGCTAGGATCTAGCTGCTTGTACAACCTGTGCAAACAAGTTTTAAATAAAATACATAAAATTATATATTGTGTTTCTTATATCACCCTCACCTGAAATACGACATAATCTCTTTTATTAGTGCTAGTGTCCTAGCACCTAAGTCACTAAGAATATACATATTATATGTAATATATACTTTTATTTTATCTTATCGAATTCTGTTGCTAATGTTGCAGTTGTTGTATGTTTGTTCTATAATTGTTCAATTTTTTTATCAAAAATCCTACTACAATTCTAAAATCACAATGTTGTCATGGTACCCCACCCTCGGTAGATAACCTATTCGTTAAAAAAAGGATAATGAAATGATATGTCACAATTAACGAAGATATAGCGCAACATATCCACAAATACCAAACAAATTAAGTGCGTATTCCCTTTTTAAAATAAGCCAAAAATTAAAATTCCAGATTCAATTTCATAACTTATTTAAATTAGTCATCAGCTTAATCACTACTAAGACAAAGTCCTCTGCCGCGTGCCTCTGCATCTGTCTGTCTGTCTGTTCGCGATAAACTAAAAACTACTGCACCGATTTTCATGTTATTTTCACCAATGGATAGAGTGGTTCTCGTTACGCTCGGGTGCATCTCTAGGTTCCTAACAGTATGTACAGTTACATGTCATAGATTATCTGAAGACTAAAATGAAAATGAAATGAAAAAATGAAAAAAGAATGAAAATGAGAGTCTGTCCCGCACACCGAAGGTTCCGTAGCACAAAACATTATACTCGTAATAAGTTTATAATTACAAAAAAAGTTGTAAACAAAGTACAAATTTAGACTTCGGACCCGTGGTTACAATGTTTTGTTACACTGGTGTAATTACTGAGCATATCTATGACCGATGGTTACAGTACGAATAGGATCTATATAACAAAAGTCTACACTGGTGTAACATCTATGAACAATGGTTAACCTAAGAAAACGATCGCCTTTGATTATTATTATGAGGTTGGTCATAGAAATTAAGTTCATTTATAAATTTTTCATTTAATATTTGGATTCTTCTGAAGCATTTTTGATTCTAAAAGTTTAGTCCTTTATGGCACTCGCCGGCTGCTCCCGCGGCAGCTCGCTTCGGTCGCTCGGCTCGTGCGTTTTGGTCACTGTTCTAACTTAACCTTTTTTTTTAATGTTGAGAAATGCATTTACGCATACCACCTGTAGACATACAGGTGGTTTTGTGGGACTCACCGGCTAGAAAAGCCAGTACTACCCACTAAAACCCAACAAAACCTCCGGTGTCTTAATGGGGCGCACTCTTACAAAAAATGAAAGTTTGTATAACAATGATGGTTCTATTTGAAATAATAAAATTTTATTTCAGCCTACGTTGTTATAATATGGTAACATCTGCTAGAAGCGCCATAGAAATCGATTTTTGAATATAATAAAAAATAAATGCGAATGGATTCGTTTTTGAACTTTAATTCTTTGTCTTTTCGAAAATTTTACTCATTAATCCCTCAACGACCGCGGACACGCCGGCGTTACAGTTAATAATAGATTTCTTAGAAATTTAATAAATTTCTTAGAAATTTACCTGGAGGTGTTAAGAAATAATAATATTTATTTGTATGAAAAAAATATATAATTACAATTTCCAAATATTTCTGCGATTTCTTTTACTTGGGTTCTTACATATTTTTAAAATATCTACATTTTACAAATGTAACAATTATTCTAAAATGAAAGTTTAACTAACATAAATAACTATATTATTATTTTAAGGCTTTCGTAAGAAACAAACAAAAAAAATATAACTAGTTTTGAAAACGAAAAATAACATGCTTTCTAGAATAATAGTAGGGGAGCCCAAGAGGGGATTTTCTGTAGTTACTCAAGCGCGGCAGATTAACATAAAAGAGGTTACCTTGCACTCTATTGAGTACTTTCACCACAATATAAGTCTTCTATATAAAGGGGCGCGTCTAGGGAAGCCGATTGAAATATTTAAAAAATGTTTTGATAAGGTAGAAATACTTGAAACCGTCAGATTAAGGTGTGGTAGGCTAGTCACATCCTGAAAAGTGTCCAATTCAATAATCTGCCGATTTGCACAAGCCGAAGAGGCAAAAATCGACTATAAAGTTTATGATGATTCGGCTCCGCCCGCGTTCTGATGAACGCGGGCGGAGCCGCGGACAAGGCTAGTAAAAAATAGGACACAATCTGGCAAATGACTTTAAATGTTAAAGTCAATCCAATTGACTAACTTAGCATTTTCTACTTAAAATATATGAATTTATATTATAGTCAATGATTTTAGACTCGTAATACCCTCTATGTATAAACTAGAAAAGCTCTATAAAGCTTTCTTATGTTCTTAGTCACCGTTTCAAAACACAGTAGTATTTGGAAGGAACGACAGATGGCACTATTTTGCATATTGAAATATTTCACAACCGATATGTTTTTTCCTCTTAAATAAGTATATATTAATATAATATCTTAATATATAAGCTAAAAATGTAATTTAAATAATTATATTATATCGATATTTTGATATGTTGTAATTATATTTTTTATAACTTAAATCAATATAACCATACATTTACAAATGATATACCTATTGTGACTGGTACATATTAAAAACGTTATGAAATAATTCTATAAGTTTATTATAACATTTAAAAAAATAATCTAAAACTACTAACACAACCTATATAATATTCAAACAGTGTAAATACCTGTTCTTGAAGTTGCTCCTGCAACTCTCTTCAACTTTTTTACTTTTTGTTCAATAATCATAACATGGAAATACCATTTCTCGAAGTGAATAAAAGTTCATGTAATAGAATAATATAATTTTGAATGGTGATATGATAAAACATTTTGAAAAATAGTAAAGTACCTACTTAAAAATAATTTTAAAAAACAAACAGTCATAGAAAAGTAACAAGCTTTCTTTTTACTGTATTTATATTTGAAGCTGGGAAATATGTTCCTCTAATATGTTCATATCTAAAGTATTTTCCCCAAAAAGGTCTATTAACAATAGTTATTTCACTTTTTTGCAGATTTATTTATAACTAGCATTGCCCGCGGCTCCGCCCGCTTTCAGATGATCAAAAACCAAATTCTTAGGTTTTACAAATTAGTATACTCGTACATTGCAGTTTTTGCATTGTTTCTTAGAAATGATATATTTTCCGGCGGTGAAAAGTATCCTATATATTGACCCGGATAACCAGCTATTATCAAACCAAATTTCATCAAAATCCCACCAGTGGTTTTTCTGTGATGCGGTAACAGACAGACAGACAGACAGACAGACAAAAATTCTAAAACCTACAGATTCGGCATCTGTATCGATAATAACATCTATTTCAATAATATTTTCCAAAACATATTTAATATACAGATTCGGCGTGGTTACAATTTTATTATATGTATAGATCAATACCTGCCGTGCGACTTTTCCTACATGTAGGCACTACTTAGTTCCCGTAGAGCTTAAGCTATCTATTAGTTTGTACATAAACCTATACATTATACATATTTATTTATTTATTTTTTTAATTTAAAGGACGATATTTAAATAATATTAATATATATATTTTTATTTTGTATTTATTATTAATTTATTTAATACTTTATTAGATC